TGTTGCCCGAAATCACTACCCCCAAAATAGTAAATCGGATACCCACAGATATAATTGACTCTCATAAACTGATACTGGTGCCCTCAGGCCTGATACTCAAACTTGCAAACTGATATGTACGTTCCCTGTAGAGATGCACTCTAAAAGCACATCGCAAGTAAAGACAGCCAAAACACCCCTATGTTGGGGTGGGGTTTCCCTGTCCTATTTTTGTCAGGAGCTAGGGTTTCACTATGCACGCAGCAGTTTTCAAACAACCTATGATCGGGTAAGCAACCTGTCCTAGTTTGGAATAGTCACTATGGATTCTGAATATGCACTAGGTCGAATGGTCGAAAAGGGTGCCCCGGTAAAACCGGGTTTGTGTTCCCATACTGTCAGAGCCCATAACCGGTCAGCCTTATGGCATGCTTTGACAAAGTCAAGCCTACGGCAAACCGTTCAGGAATGGCAGATGGCAAACACAGTGTCCTAGGTGCACCAATGCACATGCAATGCAAAGAGACACATAAATGAAATAAAAACAGGATACCACGAGTTCGAGTCAAGCTCTCTAAATCCCCAACAGAGTCGCCAGAAACTATAGACGTCCCTGAACGCCCCGGGAGGATGAGTCCCCCCCGTTCTGTTCATATTGGGTTCACTACAGTTCAGGACTCTTGAATTGTAACGGTTCTTAATCTGAACCAAAGAGTCCAAATCCGGCAAATCGTTTTGAGAAAATAGATTTTTAGAAAAGAAGTGCCAAACATGGACTGCTTTGCCAGATACCGAGTCGCCACCTAAATATTTTTTTATGGGGAAATTTAGGAAACCCTGACTCGATGCCAAAGGCCACGTGTCCGTCATCACCAAAGTTGCCTCGGCTCGGGAGCTTGGGTACGATTGGGGAAGGTCAGCTATGAGCACCCCCTCTCGCCTGATCTGAAGATCGGCCTCTACTAACCGTGATATCCGTTTTTGAAAACATTACGTGCTCTTATTCTGATTATTAGCCTAGAATTACTATGTTATGCGCACAGCAAACAAGTATAGACAGAATCCCCTAAATTGGAACAAAGCAATGCACATCCGTTTGTTTGAAAAACAGTTTGAAATTTGCTACTCGCAAGTAGGCTAAAGCACGGATTTCAACGAGTTGTTACAACTCAAACAATCCAACCTTCACCCACAGGCATTCAGGCAGTTTATATCACATAAGCATCTAGCCACATGGTAAGCATGCTGTCATGGAAAACACTCACACTCATGCAAGATGCTAAAGCATAAAAGCTTACCTAGTACTCCGTGCCAAAACAAGAACATGTTAGTAATTATGCATGATCCAAGTCTAGGTTTAAATGCCTAATGCAACGCATACGGAATGTCACTAGAGTAGGCTCGGCTAGTCTACAAATGATATGTGAAAATGCACAAGTAGCATATATTCAAGTTAGATTTGAAATACTTATGCAGTTAGTATGATGCGCCGAGCCTGGTGCATGCAATACTGATGAATGATGCACGCATGCATAGCATAAGGTATGCTAAATTAAACGTGCCCTAGTACTAACCATCAAAAGCAGGTAAGTAAAAGGGAGAAAGAAGTGGGGGGTTGGAAGACATGCACACACGCACCCACACTTATTACAAGTTCGCCCTCGCTCGGAGGGACCAAAAGAATATACAAATTAATTAACTAACAAGCTAATTAAATATTACAGACCACCTAATTAATTAATCTAATTTAAGCAATAAACAGCCTCGGGAAGAGGGTCAGATGCGATGCGTGCTCGATTCCGCTCGGAAGTCACTGCCATGCACAAGTTGCCTCTGCTTTGCCCTGCTATACTCCTCTGAAGACTGCCAAAATCCCAGAGTGTGCTCTCTGGATGCTGTGAAGCACCACCGGCTGAAGGAATTGGTCACCGGCCATGATGAATGATCACCGGCCACTGGTTGAGCTATCAACCATCCATTGATGGTCGATCGGCACTCTATGAGGCGGACCGGTCAAAGCTTCCTGCAGAATCTGGTTTGACAGTAGCAGAGGGTAAAACATGGCATGGTAATGTATTTCAAGCAAATGTATGCACCAACATATCCCCTATCATGTTTATGACTCAAAGGGACACGGTTCTCGATTCTCGGACCATCAATTGTGCATTTCAATGCATGATGGCCCAAGAAACCAAGTATGCACTTTGATTTCAAATGAAATGCAATGCACGTAAACATACAAGGGAGCCTTCAACCTCTATCATGGCTTGATCAAGAGGTGAGGCATGCATGGTAATGTAATGCAACCTAGGCATGTGAACTAGGCATGCGACATGAGCATATGGGAAGCATGCAAGGCATATAACAAGCATGCAAGTTAAATGAGCATAAAAGGCACAATGCCAACACACAAACATGCAAAACATATGGCATGTTAAGTGAGAGGGAGATTTATGATCTGGAATTGGACCGAGGCAACGGCCGAGCAAGTTGAGAGCCTAATGGTGTATGGGGCCGAGATGACCGGCGATCCGCCCGGAGATGGGCCGCCAGTAGTTGGGCCGGGCAGGAGTTGGGCCAAGTATGTGCTGCCCCAGACCGTAAAGAAGCTGCTCGGGAAGGCAGTGCTCGGTTGGACCGAGCTGCTTGATCAGGCGATGGTGGTGCCAGTCAAGCTGAATGACCGGCGCCCGGAAAGGCGTGGTCAGACGAGGTAATCATTTAATCGGCAGGAAGGTCGACTACAGGAGGTGCCCCCGGCTAGGCTTTCCCGAGATGCCGCCTAGCCCGGTCCTCCTTGGGCTTAGCCCGTGAAGTGCTTGGGTATGAAGCACAGTACGGCTGTGGATAGAGAAGCTTGGCTGCCGAGCTCCAGCTGAGAAGGCAGGCAGTTGAGATTAGGTGATGTTCAGCAAGGTTTATGCTGACAGATGGGATAGCGGAGCCACGTGTCAGGAGATGACTGGGAGTGGATATGGGGCGCAGAGGGTATATAAGCATGTCTGCGCTCCCCATACGCTGACGGACGAACATTCTGTAAGGAATTCCTACACTCTAACACTCCTCTCTCTCTCTCTCTCTATCCTAAGGTGTGTGCTAACTTGTTCGTCGGATGGTTTTTCCGACCACACACCGCCGGGCAGCTCACTGTTATTTGCTCGCAGGTGATCGGATATAAACGGAGCTCGGAAGAAAGGAGTACGGGCTTGCCGGAATATTTGCTCCCCGTACATTAAGCAACCTAAACAAGGAGGAGAATGCATGCCAAATGCAACACAATTTCAACATGCAACAACATGTCATAAGCTAAGCATGCAACAACATACAAAGAGGTGGACTTAAACTAAATTAGGCAGCATTTAAACAAGCCTAAAATAGTGGCTAAAATGATGCAACAAAGGCATGAAAACACACACACAAATATGCATCAACAAGGGCCTAAACATGGAGCATAAGCCATCAACTCTTCAAAGCATGAAAGGGATGGAAAATGCTAGCATATAAGCACATCATGAGGTCTGAAATAACATACCAAGTGATTCCAAAACACTGAAATAAAGCAAGGGTGGCATGCTAGAGAGGCCAAAGCTTAAGGCATTCAAGAGGGATTGCATGGTAGCTATACAAAGCAAGACATGAATGACTTAAATGACCTAAAACAGTCCCTTAGCACATCAAAATATGCATGCAAGATTCACAAAGCATAGCCAAAACACATGAGCATGGTAGTCTAAATACTATGCATGTATTGAGACAAATCATGGCATTACAAGGCATGTATGCTAAGCAAGCATGAAGTACCAAAACCAACTGAAAACAGAGCTATATTATGACATAATAAGCACAAAAATCAGTTAAGGCATGGTCAACACACACTTAAACGAGATGCTCCCTGAAGAGGCAAAAATAGCCCTTTTCAAGAACAATAAGGAGAGAGGGTGGCCCTCTCCTTCCTAGGACCTCAAGGCACTATCCTCACCTCTCTCCTTCTTAGGACCTCAAGGCACTATCCTCACCTCTGAAATCCCTCAAGATTTCAGTGGTGAGGAGGCCCAAACACAATGGTCCCGGAGCTCAACCCAAATGGCACAAAACAAAGGCCAAACAAGCCTTAAGAGGGGTCAAACAACCCCAAAGCTTAAAACACCCTTAACAAACTATTTAGAGCAGACAAAAACAAGACTTTTATATGTTATATGCTAAGCTCAAAAATGGACGCAAGATAGGCTAAAAAGCTTTGCAAAAATGAGGTAAAAAGGGACAAAAGTCTTACCCTTGTAGACCCTCTTCACGAACAATATTTCCAACAGCTCTTTTGGTTCCAAACCAGTCCAAAAGCTTCCAGGAAAGGCCTCTGGTACCTCAACCACTAAGAAAAGGGGTGATGGTGGGTGTTTGTGCACAAAAATGAGACCAAAACACACACTAAACACAAGAGAGAGAGAGAAAGAGAAAGAGAGAGAGATATAGAGATAGAGGATATGTGTAAACCCTAACCCTAAAGCTCAAGCTCTAAAAAAAAAATGTTGTCTAAGTTGCCTCTCTCCTCCTTTTTTCCTTTTCTCTCCCTTGTTCCTATGTGAGAGAGCTTGATTGATATAGATATATATCAATCTGCAGCTCCTCAGAACACCCACGTCCAGGTATGGGCTGGGGTATGGCCTAGAATGACAGCTGTGCCAGCTGTCTGCAGAGATATCTGTTGAAAATCACACTTGGCCGACCAACAGTCAAACTGGCCGGCTGGCCGTCACATTTAGCCGATAGAAACAAAACACAGCCGGTGGCCTCAAGCCATGGCCGGTGGAGTGTGGGGATGGCTCAAAAGCCATTCCCTGCTCTCCAAAGCAAAAACACAAGTGTTTGGTGCAAAACCGAACACAAAACAGTCGAGTCGAGAGATCCTGAGGCAAAGCGCGTAGCCGAGGCCTCCGGGAACTCATGACGAACACAAACAATGATGATCACCAAGTGTTCAAACGGTGACGTCCAAGTCTTGAGGACGGTCAAAAATGGGGTGTCTACATTGGCCTATGTCGATGTCTAGCAAATGCTTTTGATACAAAAGAATGAGTAGAGCCCGAATCAAATAGCACATGTGCGGAATGATTAGTAATAGAAAATGTACCTGATACCATAGCCTCGGCATTTTGCACGTCACCTAGAACTAGCACAAATACCCTTACTTGTTCGACAATATCCTTAGTACTGGTGAGTTTTGTAGTTGCCTTTGTAGTAGGGGTAGGGGTTGATCCAGCTGAGCTTGCGGTGGTTTTGTTCCCATTCTGTCGATTCCTTTGCGGACATTCCCTGGCCAAATGACCTGTCTTGTCACACTTGAAGCATGCCCCTGTTATCCGATAACAATTTCACGGTGTCTTTTTCCACAATCCGAACAAGTTGGTGCAGAATCAAGGGTAGAAGCAGATGCACTAGAAGACCTTGAATTCAATTTCTTACTTGGCGGTGTCACCGAACCCTTAGAGGCTTGGGTATTCTGTCATTTCCCTCTCCATTCCGAGACTCGACTTTGAGCGACAACATTACCTTCGGCAATCACTGCCCTCCCCAACACATCAACATATATGGGTAGTTTTAGCATATTAATTTGGTCGAGAATAGAAGGCCGTAACCCTCCCTCAAACTTTCTTTCCTTCTTGTAATCTGTATCCACCATATGTGGTGCGAAACGGGCCAATTCGGCAAACTGAGCCTCATATTTTTAACAGTCTTGCTTCCCTGCCTCAAGGTTTCAAATTCAGTTACCTTCTTATCTCACATACTTTGGGGAAAATACTTGTCATAAAACAGCTCCAAAAATCTGTCCCATGCTAATCCTTGGTGTACAGTTCTCGTAAGCATCCACCACCTCTGTGCTTCATCCTCAAGAGTAAAGGCAGCAAGTTGCACTTTTTGGGCTTCGGTACAAGGAAAAACTTTGAATAGCTTTTCTATCCCCAACACCCACGCTTCAGCTTTCATTGGTTCTATTCCTTCCTTGAATGATGGCGGCTTCATCTTTTTAAATTCCTTCGTGAGTGTGATTGTTCGGTCCTCAGCTTGATGATCCTGTATCCCTGGCGGTGGTACAGGTATGGGTGGTGATGGTTGTTGTTGTTGTTGTTGTCTCAAAGTCTCTACCATTTCCATAATCAACCTTTCCATTCTATCCAACTACGTGGTGGTTGCGTCTTCCGGATCATCTGTTCTGGTTCTCACCATGATATACATAGCAATTAATTATAATACATATAAAATGCACACATAGACATGGATCATGGTCATTGTCAATACATACGCATCAAATATCATACGTTAATCACTTAAATCTTTACTAGACGCCCTAAAGCTCAAAGAACTCATGCGTGAGGTAGCAACTCGTGCTCTGATACCAACTGTCACACCCCGAACTTGCCCCTAAAAGTTTGGACATGACCGGCCTACACCGAGGCCTTAACATGGCTATTTAAAAACTTGCTTAATCATTGGGCCTATACGAAAGCTATACAATGAAAGAACAAACATTCATTGACTTGTGTCTAAGTACCAGGATCATGATGCATCTTTGTACATACCACTATTTCGTGTTACACATTACAATACATAGATAAAGGTTAATTCAAAAGTTAAGTTTCTACAATGCTTATATACATATTCGTTGTTCCCAAAACTTTTAACAAAACATCCCATCATAGGGATTTCTAAGACATAACCAGAGCCATTTTAGTCGACTCAGCAAAACGAGTTCAGCTTCGTACTTCTGGGCTGACCTAGGGTTGACCCGTAAGTTGATCACCTACAAAACATTCACAAAGGTAGAGTGTGCATAGCTTAGTGAAAGATAGCAGGATAAATAAATTGAGGGTATAAGCATGAGCCGGCTTTGCATAATCACAATTCATAATTTACAATTCCATTTCTCATTTCTGAACGGCCTCGGGCCCATATTAAGCAAAACGGCCTCAGGCCCATATTAAACCAAACGGCCCCAGGCCCATATTAGACAGAACAACCTCAGGCCCAACAGAGTACAAAATGGCCTTAGGCCTATCATAATAGTAAAACGGCCTTGGGCCCATCATATCAACAGATAGAGATCTTGGATCCATACATCATATGCTTAAAGTTCCACATATCAACATGTTCCACATAATTGAATACATAAGGAGTGTATAGGATCTTAAATAGCATGTACACAACATAATGCGTGAACAAAACATTATATTATACTACTATCACTCACTGTGATATGGGTGCATGATGGTCCCCTCCTGCGAATGCCCTACATATAGCACATAAATCATAAGCACAACATTACTCAAAGTTTCCTGTCAATTCTCGTTTATTCGCTTTGTTACGTTACATGTATTTACATACATTATTGGAACATTAAATGGATATATCAGCATATGCAAAGGGTCGAGAAGGGAGAAAGGAAGTTCCAAAATTTTCCAATATAAGCCGCACGTGCGGAAGTCCCCGCCGCACCTGCAGGAAGGTGCGCCGTATGTGCGGCCCGCACATGCCTTTTTAGCAGAATGCATTCAGCTTTCTCCCTTGTTTTCCGCACGTACAACTGTGATCCCTGCACATGTGGCTGTGCCTCCCGCACATGCAGCCAAGGGCCCCGCACGTGCGATCATTAGCCTTGTTTTCAGTCCGAAACCTCAACATTTTCAAGGGCACAAGGGACTGTCCCACAACCAAATTCATGGTAAAAACATACTAAAAACATAGCATATAAACACATAACGTGTGATTTTAACCACTTAAGATCAAGACTTGCTCATTGGACCCTCTACACCTCCAATTCTCCATAAATTCTTCATTATCTCCATGTAATTACATATATATATATATATATATAGCTCTCATGCTTGTACATTGTGGTTCATGGAGGGTAGGTTTCCATCATACACACCTAAGAGATGCATGTTTCTTTATGAAGTTCATCACTGACAAGCACACATAATCAAGCCCTAACTCTCTTTTCTTATAGAGGATGTATCAATTCAAGCCCAATTCAACCAATTGAAAAGGAATTAAGGGTTTAGTAATCATCCACACTCATCTTAGATTGGATTCCTCAATTGCTTCTAGCAAATCCCTTATTCTCCAACTTTTGTTGCTTTCCTCCTCTTTATCTCTTTCTCTCTTCAAGTTTCTCTATATTCTCCACTTACTCATATGTGAAGAGTTGAGTTCAACATAGGTAGACTTATATACCATATATTGGTCTTGGCTTTTAGCTTTGCCAAACAAGCCTTAGTGAATCGCACAAAATAAATTTTCAATTAAGCTACCCATGCTGCTCTAAAAATTCCTACTAGCATGTTCTCTTGTTCAATTTCAGTTTATTATGCCTCTATAGCTTTAGGTTTCCAAGTCAATGTTTTGATTTTAACAGATGTATTTCAATAAGCAACATATAGGTAACCATAAATCAACAATTCCCACATGTAAGCTTAACTTTCCATAAAATTGCATAATAAACATATAATTTCCCATAAAGTGAGAGACACAGAGAACATAGGAGGGTCGGGTGATTACACTAGCAGAACACATGCAAAATAGGGAGTTGAGGCTAGAGCAGCCGAGAATGATCAGGCCCCTGTGCCACCACATTTTGGTTCGCAGGGGGTAGTGTATCCAAAGTTTCCCAGGGGAGGTTGGAGACCTATGGTTGAATCCAAAACACAAAAAAGAAGGGAGCAGAGGAAGTTCCATGCAATGATGTCTAGATTGGAGAACCAGGGCTTGAAACCACCAACGGCACAAAACCTAACATGGTCTAGAGAAAAGAGGGATAATGAAACCTATGCACCGAAAAATGCAGTAGCATTAACACCAAGGAACAGCATCAAGGAGTTTCCCAAGTCGTTGATGGCATGTGAGGAACCCATACCCATCACAGAGGAGGCTTTGCTCAGACAAAGAATTAGAGAATTAGAGAAGGAATTACAAGTTGACGATGAGGCCATGAAGGTTAGCCAAGAGGTGGCCACAAAGGTCAAGATGACAGGGTCTGTTGACATGGAAAAAGACGAGGTTAAGTCAGAGAGTTCTAGGATTTTTGGAGAGAAAATGGCCATCCAGTTTGGTAGTTTTCCCCTCACGGATTGTAATGTGGTGATGGCCATTCCTAAGAGTTTTCATGCCAGACCAACCAACACACTTGGTGATGTGTGATGACCCGGTGTTTTACCTGTCTTGCTTCTTTGGTTTGGCCTTTGTTTTACCTCGTTAGTGTGTTGGGTCCCGTTTAAAGCTGTGTTAATCTCTTGGGCTTGTAGTGTTCGCAAGCCTTACCTCAAATTTCTGTCCTTGTTTGTTCCGATGTTGGATTTCATTTTGTTCCGGAGGGTGAGATGTCAAGCCTGAAGTGCCTAGAATAGGGTGGGAAAATTCTGGGCTGAGGAAACTAGGGCCACGCGTGCAGGACCTTGGGCCGCACGTGCGGAAGACGGGCTGCACGTGTGGATTTCAGGGGAAGTGTGAGGCAGCACACCGTAAAATATTCAGGTGCGGGCTAGGTGCATGCGAGGAAGGCCGCACGTGCGGGGATGAATGCCGCACGTGTGGGGATGAATGTTGCACGTGCGGGACGAGTCCAGTCTGAAAACTCTATTTTTTATTTTTATTTTTTATCTTTTAGGGCCGAATGTATCTCATTGTTTTCAACATCTCCTTCTCTGTAAAAACATTATTACTCTTCCTTCTCTTTAAAAACAACCATCTAGCACCCAAAAACTTTGATTTCTTGTGATCCTTGAGCCTAGAGTCATCCTCTCTCACAAATCTTGAAGATCAAAGCTAGGGCTCCTCTTGGTGTTGTGGGAAATTGAAGAATCTTCCATCAAAGCTAGGGTTTCACTTTCTTTCATCATCAAACATTGAGGTAGGGAATTTCTTGAGTTATATATACAAGTTTTGCTATAAGGAGAATGATTTAAAGGTTTTCATGAAGTTATTGTGTTGAATCTAATTTTGTGAATCAAAATGTAGAGAGTATAAGAGTGGGTTTAAATCTCAACCCTTTTGTTAATCCCAGGGATTTTATTCCTTTATTAAACTCAACAAAAATGATTTTGGTGGGGTTTTATCAAGAAAATGGAAATGTTTTCTTTATGATGGAAAAACCCTAGAAATTTGGGGATTTTTGGAAAATATAAAAGTGTTTCTAGTGTTCTTACTTTTCTTGTGTTAAAAGAGTGGATGAGAGTAGGCATCATGATGTGATTTGCAAAATGGCAACCTTATGATATATTGAAATGGAGACTTTGTTTTAAAAACTATTGTCAAATACATGATGATATATTGCTGAGAGATGACAAATCGTTGTGCACTATGGATTGTGAAAATTATAACCATTGGAGATTTATGTTTGAAAACATCACATGTGGCCTTGAAGAGACTAAATTGATTAGAATTGTGCATGATGAGAAATTGTTATGGTGTGTTGAAGGCACATGGTTATTTTGCAAAATAATGTTGAAGTTAGGAATTGAGAAATGTAGTTGTTTTATCATTGTTGTTAAGACATTTGGAAATGGGGAAAAACTATGAGGCATGGAAATTCATTACATTGCCAACTCATTAAACCATGCATTTTGTGCTTAAAGTGGAAACATGTGCTTCAAGAAGGGAACATATTTATTGTAATGAGAACAACGGAAATGTATAAGGGGTAAATACGTTGGTAAGTCCGGTTAGGAGGTGTAGATGAATTATTAAGTTGGCCTGAGTGTCTGGGGTGAAAGACTGAAAACATGTGCGGAGGAGGTACCACTTCCCTTTCGGTTAGCAACCGGTAAAGTGGGGTTATTGGTAGTGCTTGTTGAGCCTACTTGCAGACAACAACCTAGGGATTACCTGAGTCGTATTTACCGCCCCTATTGATTAAAAATTTGAAGTTTTGAAATGTGTTGAGATTGCAAATTTTTGTTGAAAGATGGTAATCTTTAAGAAGAGCATGAAATGAAATTTCTTTAAAATAGCATGGCATGGCATTGACATTTACATTTTTATTGAGAGTTTGCATAACTGTATATACTTTGTAAGAATTCTCTACTGGGCTTTATGCTCACCTCTATGGGATTTGGTGCAGGTAAAGATGCGGTAATCCCGCCAAACTGAGGGAGTGGATATGTTTTGGTGAAGAGTAC